AGCAAGGCTTTTGTAGAGAATGTAAGTCGGCAAAAATTCAGATTTATGCCATTGAATAGCTTAGGAGTCCGTAATGTCAAAGGGATGAGAGAACTGGAGTAAATCTTTATTTCAGGCGAGAAGCATTGGGCCGAGGAAAGGAAGGAAAATTAAGGATGGAAGGTAGAATATGGTGAATCCGATTGAGGAAAGGTTTTGTCTGGCTTTTTTTTTATCAGGGCATGTCTCGTAAACCGCTCTCCCGAGTATACATTCTCATCTGAGCGCCACCTTTTCAAACTGAGTAACTGTTTCGGATTACCCACAGTAGTTCGAACGTTCGTTTTCATTTCCAACTTTATTTTTTCGTTTTAAAACACCACACTAGGTACTTATGTTTTTGAATATGTTTAAACAAAATAAATAGATAGAGAAATATCAGAATAATTCAATAAATAAAATATAAATCGAATTCCACAAGTTAACAAACATATCTTTAATTAATTTATTGGAGGCGTATAAAGAAAACTATTTACTCTGGTAAAGAACAGTTTTACCAAGTTACCAATGTATAGAATCTTTAAAGAAAGAGCGTACAATGAATTAGCGTTAATTAAGAGTAGAATATCTTACCACAAATCGCGAACCATTAGTTTACCAATTTAATTTTTCAGCCTTCTAATTTACATAAGAAAAAAGTAAGAAAAGGCATAAAATCAAGAAAATATAAATAGCGGAAATTTAAAGTAAAATGAATATGGAAAATAAAGTAGGAGAGAATAATTCCAAGGATTCACAGCTTCCTTCCAGTCAACGAGGCAACATCAGGCTCGAGTCCATTGGAGTCTCTAGATCCCATCTGTGGCAAGTATGAAATGGATAATTCTCGACTTGAGCACAATTAAATTATTTACTGACATAGTGAAAAGGAATAAAATTTGAATTAATAGGAATAAAGAAAGAGAGTTGAACATAAGAAAGCTACACTAGCAGAAATGGTTGGTTGCAGAAAGAATTATCTTTTTTAGAGCGTCATATAGAAAATATATTGTTTTTCAACTGAAACTGGTTACTGGATTAAACAAGAAATGAAAGCAGTAGCGAGAAAAAAAAATGAAAGCGTTGTTTTTACGCTTTGTGTAATGTAATATTGTTACTTTTACTATTGCTGTTTTAAAGAAAAGTAAAATAATAATATAAAGAAAAATAATTTTTCTTCTATATCATTTCAGCTACTGTTCATTAGTCACAATCATCGTCGGTAGAAGTACACAACAAAAATTAAATTTTGCAATCCAACAGTGTTCATAATACAATTACGGATATTTTAACGAGGAATTGAGGAATTTTAATTAAATTACAATTACACGAGTCATTAAAGTGGTGTAATGGAAGGCAAGCATTAAACATTTGAAACAGAAGGGCAAGATTGAAATAACCAGGAAGTTGCAGTATTGTTCCACGGATATGACTATAACTGTTATTACTATAATCTGATGATACAACACTGAAGTTTAATCCATGACAAATTTGGCCTGAAGTTGTTAACCGGGATAGCCTGGTTTTGCCTAATTTGCTGTCGTTAATTTAGGGGCTGATAGTTGGCCCGAAGTGATTGTCGTTAGAATAACGTTTTGAGTTTAACAGCAAACCAATTGATATGGAGATAAGCATTACTAGACGAAAGACAATTAATCGTCCACGAAGTAAAAAAAATTAAAACCTACAGAAAAACAACGTTACACCAAGCTTTTGGACAAGAATCTATTAGTCTATTGATTTTCAATTTATAGATCTTTATATGTAGATGGCCAAAGAGAATTTTCTTTTTTATTATACACTTTACCACTAAATTTTATGTATGCTGCAATTTTTTTTTACTTCACACCCCCCTTCAAAAAAAGAATATTAATTATTATGTGGAGAGTTTAGTGACCGTTAGCCAATGATTATTTGGATTATATTATGTTATAAATTTGTATGAAATGTTTACTTTTAAAAAGAAATTTATTATTTTTGATTTGGAGATCTGATATAGAGGATACAAAATGATGTTTGTCATTGTTTGAATGATATTTATAAGCTAATCTGAATTAAATATTATTTTCAGTAAGTCACCACGATCAGCTAGTATTTATCATAAACTGTAAGTTGAAAAATTATTAATTAATAAGTGTCCAAAATTTATTTTGACACAGTAAACTGAAGATGTGTTGTACTAAATTCATATAATTAATTTATAAATGATTATTTGGAGATTGTGAGGTGCGGTCTGGTGTGACGCAGGTTTTAGAAAAACATTTTCTTTATCATGCCAACGTTTCGATCTTTATTGAGATCATCTTCAGGGCCTGGGATTTATAAACATTGTTTCAATTTTACAAATACATGTAGGATGTGAAAAATTAGAATTTATAGAGTGCACACCAGACCGCACCTTACGATATCCAAATAATCATTAATTACTATGTTTAAATATACTTTTTACGAATAATAAGTATTCTGTGAATAGTTTTAATCAAAGTAAGGAATTAATGGAAATAGGGAATCATTGGAAATCTCCCAAAACAATTTTCACATAGTCGAGTTTATGACAGAGAACATGGCACGATTTAGTGGTAATCCTTAACTTTACTTTTTCTTAAGCTTTTCAATTAGTTGATCTATTAATCGCCCAATGCAAGATGAACACTTCTGCAGTAACAAGTCTTGCCGATTTAGTATGCAGAGTGTTTTTCCCATCCACCTTTCCGCCATACCAAGGATAAGACTCCATACCGGCGGACCACGGCCACTAAAATAGTTTCTATATTTGCAAATTTAGTGGATCTTACGGTTCTTAGTCTCCCTTTGGACTTGCCCTAGAAGGGAGGCCCAAGGAAGGCAGGGACATTTTTTTAAAATTTATCTAATTTAAAAGGTTCCCCTTGCTGGATTAGTATACAGGGTACCTCTTCGTCCCCAAAGGTGCAGTCGTTGGTGAGGGCATGATTCAGGTTGTGATGTAATCTAAAGTGCTCTGTTGTCCGTTTCTGGTATTGAAGACATCCTTGCTAAATCTATTATGATACATGCTGTGTTAAACGACATATTCCTCTGGCATGTCCGCAGCTAAGACTTTTACTAATCGAGATTGATAATTTTAATAAATTAAAGAGTTTTCACTCCTTAGCCAGAGCACCTATGAGTGCATTCCACTTAATGTTTGCTATGAATATACCCAGCTATGTTAGCGGTTCGACAATTGAATCTGAACAAGTCTTGAGCTGATGTTATAAGTCAAGCTGATGAGGAGGTAGCAAACGCTTTGTTAACTGTTTTTTAAAATCAGTAAATACGAAAAATGTAAATTAATTGCCTTATTACTAAAGTTAGTGCAGGTGATATAGATCCAAGTTGATAAAATGTACAAACTATAAATACATGAATTTATATCATTAAATAAGCTTAAGAGCTTATTATAATTTTTATATTTTTGAAACGTTGCGTTAAATGATAAATTAGCGGTTTTTTTCCTCAAAGCCTATCTAATTTAAGAGAGGATCTCTAGTTTTAAGTGATTTTACATGAAAGAAAATCACAGGCCTTGTGGTATTAAAAAGTTAAAATTCTATTGCGATTAATTAGCAATTAACTGTCTTCTTTGAGATTTCAGAGAACGTCTTCCGTAGAGACTTAGAAACTCTATTAGGACGGTCTTTCTTAAAGGGATATTACTAACCGTTATTACCCTCTTTAAAATCTCTATCTCTCTGAGCTCTCGCGCAAATTGGCAATTTTTAAAAGAATCTAAAAGCTCGACACAGGACACATCAATGATCCTCACAAATTGTCTTATCCGAATTCTCATGCATAAATAAAAGGAAGTCATGAATATTAAAACCTAAAATAGCATTTACATCCGACTCTGTCTTTCTTCGACGTTTAATACATTTGCAACAAGTTTATTGCTTAATTCAATGATATATTAAATATTTATTACAAAATAGAATACTGAAAATAAAGTGACTTGGGTGGTTGAATAATTCAAGTGTTAAAATGTACTTTATTGGTATAAAAATGACGAAACCAGAAAAAGAAAGTATTATTTTCTATTTAATTATTTCCGCCGATTCTAACTTAACTGTATTAAAATTAAAGGTTTAAGTTATTTTTAAGTATATTTTAGTTTGTACACTATGTAGGTTAAACAGTGTAAAACAATGCGTGGTGTTTAGTGTTTTTTTCACATCCTACATGTATTTGTAAAATTTAAACAATATTTATAAATCCCAGGCCATGAAGATGATCTCAGTAAAGATCGAAACGTTGGCACGATTAAGAAAATGTTTTTCTCATACCTACGTCACACCAGACCGCATCTCACGACCTCCAAATAATCAGTGTGTAACAATTTTAAGTTGTCGTTTATTTGCCAGAAAAGTTTGATTGAAACAGTTCATTTTCCTTACTACGAATTTTCTCTGGGTTTGTGCTATCCGATATACGCAGAATTATGTTTGCATTAGTTCATTCGACATACACAAGTCTGATATAAACGCAATTTCCCATTTCCTTCCTTTTTCACGGTCAATGAGGCAATTACAAATTCGGGACTTTGAATACTTTTTCCAGAACAAAATAAATAAATAAATTAAAATAAAATAAATCACAAACGTTACGGCCACTCTCAATTGTTGTTTTAAAACACAGTAAGCCAACAAATAAATTGGACAGGCGGTGGTGTACGAGCAGGTGGTGTTTCTCACCGACAACGGTTTATCTCGTCCCACTTCACTACGGAGCCGCACGAACACAGTAATTACAGTTTTCCCATTTCCTCGGGTAAAAACCAAGTTGGCCAGGGCTAAGAGAAGATCCATCTTCTTTCCCATCCTGACACAGGACGCTTATACTTTACTCTTCCTTAAAGAAATGCAGACAGACCGTGTAATTTTTATCCTCATGTTTATCAAAACATTTGTTTGAAGAATAAACCATTCACAGTGTTTTATTTATGTTGAATTACATTTGTTTTTTAGTGGCAGATAGAGAAAATATGCTTCCACGTACTATGTCACCAAGGGTTCTATCTGCATTAGAAGGCGTTCAGTTTATCGCACAACACATAAAGGATGGCGACAAAGATAACGAGGTAAATCCTATAAACTCCTTATGAAATCATGAATTTTTGACTTGTAGATATGCTTATGTACTTTATAATACACATCCATTAATATACTTTTTGAGGTTATAGTATGTTAGGTTAGAGTATATAGTAAATAGTATTGTTCTATACACTCAATTTTGTCAAAAATTTTGAATTTCATTGCGATTTTAGCTTTAAGAAAAGATTGTAAGATTTGGCCAAGTTTCTCATTAAACATTTTTTTGTTAATGTAGTGAGGAGCGGTCAAGAATGAGTCAGTTTAAAAAAAAACACCTTTTTCATTTTTTTCCGATGTTTTGACCTTTATTCCGGTCATATTCAGAGCCTTCGTAAATTATAAAACATATGTTGATTGGAAAAAATACAATACAGATGTAAATATCAATTTTTAAACCATGTATTTCATACTAACATAAAGTGTGGTGCTATTCTATTGATGTCATATTGGTTTTGTGTGAAAGCGTTGTGAAACGTGAATTTGTATTCATTATTTAAGCCATACATAATGAATACGATTATAATTGGATACGATCATTATTGTATGATTGTGACTGGGTGTGGGACTCGGTAAATCTGGAAAATTTTGTTTGATCATAGGATTTTCTCGATTGGATTTCTGATTGGGCATTCAATATTGGAAAGGAAGTTAATTATTAAGGACGATAACGAAGGAAAGGTCATTGGCCACTCACCACTTTGAAAAACAACATAACTTTGAATTCGACATAGTACAACATTAACATGGAAAAAAACAAATAGAAACATTAACAGAGACACAAATGAAAAAGTGTTTTTCTAAACTACCTCATTCTTGACCGCTCCTCACGACTCCAACAAAGTATGAAACAGTACAATTATTCTAAAAGGTCATGGTAAAAGACTAATTTTTTTTTGTTCTAACTAGCAATTTCTTTCAGGCACTTTTGTGATCACAACAAATATTTACCACAATTGATTTTTTAATATATATTTAAAATAAATTACAGCTATGTACATAACTATGTACAAAGGATTAAAAATTAAAGTGATACTCTCTAATCATAGCAGTCCAACCAGAGGCGACGGGTCCATCGCTCTTTCTTTAATTTTTAATCCTTTGTACATAGTTCTGTAAATAGCTGTAATTTAGTTTAAATATATAAAAAAATATTATGGCACTATAAAGTGCCGAAAGATAGGTGAACCCAGCATTTAGTCATTTTTCACCCGTCTAATGACCTCTACGAAGACTGGAACTCTACATACTAAAATTATTCATTACGATATAGGTATCTGTTAAAGAAGAATGGCAATGCTATTGTATAAATGATAATGGAATAGCTTTCGAACGCTTTGAAGCTCGATGTTCCATTTTCTCTGCTTTAGCAGAGGACAATTAATTCTTTTTAATAAAACTACTTATTACCAGAAGAAACAAGTCATTTGGGAAGCTTATTGACTCATGGTGTAGTATAGTGCAATGAACCTAACAATCCGAAAAGCCATCCGACTTATCCTTACATATATTTTAAATCCTGATGTGTGGTGCAAATCGGATTAATTAAACTGCGATAAATTTATAATAATATAGATAAGCTTATCAGGTAAAAAAAGCAGATCGAAGTTGTATAAAAATATATTTTTTTAATTACATTTATTTGATATTTACAACTACAAGTGATGTATTAAGAAAATATGTTCGTTTATCATGAATTATCATTTGAGGCTCTTGTAGGAGAAGTTGCCCAGTGGGAACAATCCTTCACACTGATATCTTGTTCAGTCTTTACACAATGAGAAGGTCTCGGGGCCACTTTCGCTTCAATCGTCTTATAGGATTTTCAGGTAGGGTTGGAAGTGATAAATTTCGTACGAATAGATTACTGTATGTGTTCAGTGATTGATGAAATTTTTTCTATCGGTTTTTGATGAGTTCATGTACAAACGGGATGTGTAGGTCTTTATGAATAGTGTAATTTGAAACATAAAAAGGAGCATTTATAATTTGACGGAGAATTTTAGATTGGATTGATTGGAGACGCTGGGAATTGGATCCTTGGTTGAGTCCACACTTCACAACCGTACGCCCAGAGAGGTCTAATCATTGTCTTGAAAATTAAAAGTTTATTTTCAAGGACTAATTTTGATCGTGAGTCGAGTAGTCCTTTTAACAATTTATTCGGTTTGTTTCCTGTCTTTTCAGTCTTGTATGGGAATTCCAAGTCAGTCGTTTATCCATGAAAAGTCCAAGATAACGCACAAGGTCAGTAGTAGGCAATGGAATTCTATTTATACTCACCACAGGACAGACATTTTTACGTAAGGTAAAATTGATCTGTGTGCTTTTTGTTAGGTTTACCTTTATTTTTCACTTTGTGAATTATATTGTTAATTCATTCAGGTGTTGTTGTAAGTGTTGAGTGTTAATTGAAGGGTCCGAATTGCGTGTAAGAATCGCTGTATCATCAGCGAATGTGTGTGTCGAAATGTTAACATGTGTAGGAATATCTGCAGTGTATATGGAAAATAGAAAAGGGCCAAGTATGCTTCCCTGAGGAACACCCGCCCCTATGCGTATATAAGGTGAGAATTCCGTTCCCTGACGGACTATAACATCCATCCGTCAGATAAGATCTCAGTATAAGATAGTACGTATGAGGGAGGATGTTCCTCAGTTTCCAAAGCAAGCCCGAATGCCAGACTCGATCGAAGGCCTGTTCTAAATCAAGAAAGACACCCAATCAATGCTGTTTTTGTTCGAGGGAAGAGACTATATTGTCAGCAACACGATGTAATTGTTGAGTTGTCTAGTGAAATGTGCGGAACCCAAACTGATGATCTGGAATAATATTGGAATTTTCAGTTATTGGCAGTAATCGTCGGAGAAGTAGTTTTTCTAGTATTTTGGGATGGGTAGAAAGGAGACTAATGCGTCGATAGGAATTTGGAAGATCAGAAGGTTTATTTGACTTATGAATCATTTTAATTATAGAGAACTTCCATTGCAATGGAAAATACGTGGTCCTGAGTACAGCGTTGTATAGGTATGTTTAGTATAGTAAGCCTCTGTAGGGCAAATTTTGTAATATTTTGTAATATTTGTTTTCTAATTAGATCATAACCTGGAGCTTTTCGTGAAGGTAGTTGTTTAATAGTGTGTCGTATAAAAATATAAATAAGAAACTTACATATTTAACTTTCGTGCAGTCTGCTGCTTAAAAATTTGATTATGGAGAAAAAATAAAAAATAAATCGGAATATACGGACAAGGTTTTTACCCCAACGGTGACCTAAAACCGGAAAGCACGTCTCAGAGTATTACACCCCCTGGATCTTTCCTTCAACCCTCTCATTCCATCAATGTAAGATCGAAGTAATTTTGGTATGACCTAGAATCCAAGAATTCAGTTTTTTAAATTTCTTTAAAAAAAATATTTTTTTCAGAATGGTCCTTTGTCTAACCTTTACAATGGAAGGAAATTATTTGGGTTTTTATAAAAAACAAAACGTGTAGAATTATCAAAATTTTACCAAATTATAATAATTAAATATAATATACAATATTATAATTGTAAATACGATTTCACAGTAGGGTTTAATGTATTATTATTATTAAATCAGGTACCTTTCATTTTAAAGAAGGTTAAAAAAACCTACCCAAACTGTATGAATTATTGTCATGAAACAATGAATGTTGTGGTTGAAAAATTATAGAAAAAAATCTTGCCAAAAGGTAGCGATTTACTTTGAAAATTGTGTACAATCTTTTAACATTATTTCTTTCTAAAATCAGGAAAGAAACTAATTCTTTTCGTTCAATAATAATATCAATTCAAAAACGTCGTTTTCATAATAATGTTAAATATTTATCTATCACAAACCTAAATTGTCATAAACAGGAAAATATGTAAATTTGTTGAAATTGTACAACATCGTTCTTGCTGTTATACAATAAATAACAAGAGCAATAATGTCGTTTTGGTTCTAAGAAATGAATTCTTTCAGCTAGACCCAATCGCACTCTCACTCTTTCTTAAAAACTTTCTTTCTTATTTACATACTGTTCACTTAAGTAGGGTGTTCGATTTTCTTCCGTTATATATTATAAACAATTGACAGTCGATTGCTTATTGAATATTCTTGTAGTACACATTCACGCTTATAAATACAATCTCATGAAACTCTTAAAACAAATAAACCTGTCACCTCACTTAATAACATTGACTACAATAAAAATCTATATGTTTAAAAACGACAACAGTTTTTTCCCAAATCTGAAAGGGGGACCCAAGATTTCATGCCTGGTACAGTTTTCATATCGGGTGGCATTTATTTTAAGCTAATATAAAGAAGATTAAGGATTTAAGTCTACGGAATAGATTAGTGTAAAAATGATTCTAAAGCTTAAGCCATCATTGGTCTTAATCGGCTTTCCTGCACGTTCTTAGTTTTCCGGAGATAACTTTTTAACTAAGCAAACGACCTCTTTATAATAAATTAGTAAAAAAATAAATATTTTAAAGTAAAATTAGATTGCTTTGTAGCATATTTTGTCCTTTCTTGTTTGTAAGGATAAAGGCAGACAAACTAACATTGCAACACGAGAGCTCACACATAAATAGGATTTATTAATTTATGTCTATCATTTTTAAACATACAATGAGTATTTTGACCGTCTTATTTTACACCTTCATTATCGTTAATTTTGTTCAACATTATCTCTTCGTATTGTTTGATACAATATTACATGTACGGCGAAAATTTAACTTGATTGAAATGCCATTCAAAATTTTTACACATAGGTACGTTAATAGAAAGATTAAAAAAAACTTTATTTTAATGTTTTGTAATAATATTTAATCGGTCTTTACGCATTATTTAAAAAAAAAAGATTTATATAATGATAATAGACACACGTTAACGATCTTCAAACTATTTCATTGCTAAACAAACCTGTTCAAGAATATTATAGGTAGGTTTTAGATTACATTTTGTGAATAGTTGGT